GGAAAAGGCACAGGAGACACTGGAGAAGCGCGTATATATAGGAACAATCTGCAGCAAATTAAGTGACTCGGAGTGTAATTGTTATAACCATTTGAAGCACGCGAACTGGATATCAAAACAGTGACGTTATTTCTGCAAGGCTTCAGTGTTACAGCTTTGATGTTTTTCATCTTTGATTCGATAAAACTTGACCAGTACATGAAAGTTCTGTGCTTCCCAGGACCTGTTTCCCCAGGTCTATACATTTCTCCATTTTTTTGTCAATATTATGATGATCTGAGACTGAATGTTAATTGCCCTGGATTTATCAAGCCATTGAAGTTTCCTGTAAATTTACTCACCGAGATATTGAGACGAGTTTCATAATTTAAACGAATAGGCTAGCTTTACTGTTTTAGCGTGGATTGTGGCCTAATTATGAAACGAGAGGCATTAAACTCAAACCAAAACCTTCCCTCTTTTATCCTCAACATTCAAATTTACATGTAAGTTGAATTGTGGAAAATCATCTAGCCATCAAAAAAATCTTGTAAAAATCAAGTGTAAAATAACTTCCACCACCATCTTGATAGTTTTTCATGGTTCAAGACTTCTGCATCTATTTATTTGAAAAGCCAATTATAATATTTCATTGATTATGATGATACACATTTTGTAAATAGTGTCAAATATATACAACGTACAGTATTTGCCAAAACATTTTGCTCCCCTTTGTCTCATTTGTAATACTTGTTTCCGGATAATCACTCTTTATTATCAATTGCAAAATATGTATCTGGATATATTCAACAAACTACATGTATTCGCCCTTGAAGCAACCCACAGATCTCAGCCCGCCTGTTCAAGACCATTTCAACCCGCTAACGACAGTTTGATGCCAACTACAGACCAACTCAAAACGACTTAACAGTTCCAAACCAGTTGGCAACAGCTCATGTCATTTGTGAACCAGTTGGAAACCAGTTGGAAACCATGTACACCAGTTAAACCAGTTGGAAACCAGTTGAACCAGTTGGAAACTTCATACCAGTTATACCAGTTCATACCAGTTAACCAGTTGAAAACCAGTTACACCAGTTGCCCAGTTCATACCAGTTAAACTGATTTGGCACCAGTTGAAACCAGTTAGAAACCAGTTCAACCAGTGGCCCAGTTAGAACCAGTTACACCAGTTGCCCAGTTCATACCAGTTTGAAACCAGTTAGAAACCAGTTAAACCAGTTGCCCAGTTAGAAACCAGTTAAACCAGTTGCCCAGTTCATACCAGTTAAACCAGTTCAAAACCAGTTCATACCAGTTGAACCAGTTAATACCAGTTAAACCAGTTAAAACCAGTCACCAATTCCCAGTTCAACTGGGACCAGTTGAAACCAGTTCAACTGGTTTCAACTGGAATTTTCACCTGGGTTCAACAGCTGTTTTTGCGGAAACTTTACATCTGGATTTTTTAGAAGCATCTGATTTTGCCCAATATTAGTAAAATATGCTCCAAATTTTGCTTAAAAAGTAAGGTTAACCCCTTACCATTTTAGATTTTTCATACAAACCTGATTTTGCCAAATTTTACTAAATATACAAGGTACCTCTTTACAATTTAATTTTTTTTATAAACATTTCTTTTCGCCCAATGTTGCTAGAAATACAAGGTTAAGCCCTAATAATCTGCAATTTTCCAGAATTATCTGATTGTGTCCTATTTTGCAAAAAAAAATGCAAGGTTAACCCCTTACTATTTGAATTTTTTTAATGAGCATCTGTTTATTTGCATACGACGCGGCAGCCATTTTGATGCCTGGACTATATACCTACTTCCAGTGATGAGCCTAAGCGGTCAACATCAGAGCGGTGCCGCATGTTGATTAACCCTGTCAGGATAGGACCGGTCTTCTTACTAGCATGACGGGGAGGGGGGGGGGGGGGGAATCCTAATATCCATACGCGACCGTCGATTTTCCTAAAATGTAAACTGGAATATTGGTTAGCCGATAATCTATACTATGACGTCATTTTGTTAAGATGCGGTTAATTGTTGCCTATTTTGGGATGATCGAAAAAAGCATTTTTAGGGGCACAAATTATAAAGTTTTCCAATACTTTTAAATTTTGCGCAAACATTCTAATGGTCAGTATACGTCCAATGAAGAACAACATTGACACACAAAGTCACCGCCAGAGGGCGCTATATCTACTTTTGGAACAATGCCATACTTTTGGTGATTTCAACCCCAAATGGGCACTTATGAATTACTTATGGTACAGTATATAATTTTTTTTTTTATAAATTCTATACATTTTTAATGTAAGAACTGTATGACATAGCCTACTGTATAACTGTATAACATACCATAAAAGAAACCGCAAACAAAACCCCCAACAAAGAAACTTTGGAAACAGCTTAGGGGTGCACCCCTATTTTAAAAAGAAATCCAATAGACACCAGTGATAAATCCCCGTACTTCCGAATGCTTTTACAAATACTCCGAACTCTCAAAGGTGTTCAGGCTGCACAGACAAATGATGATCAACGTGTTATCTGTCATTTTCTCTTCAAGTTTTGGTGGGTTGACGATTTTGAGATATTCCCATCCAAAGAAGACCACCCCAACAACGAAATGCTGTTTCCCAAACTGGAAAAGTAGCCACTTTGAACTAAAAAAAATCCTTCAACAACATGGCTAAATAGTGTCACTTTCGGACCCAACTGCATCCAAATTTTAAGAACTGCAAACCCCAAGTCATGGTCAGAGGTTCAGTGCCATATGTCTTCCATTCCCCCACTCCGTGGCTCTCAGAATAAATTCTCTAATATAGAATAATAAAGTGAATAACGTTTATTCATGAGCTCGGCGACGGATTTTTCAATTTACTGATGAGGTTTACCCTAATTAGTACACGGAAGGCGACCATATTGGATTCGAAGCATGCATGCCTGAGGGCGGCGGAATTAACCGGGGGGGGGGGGGCACTTCCCCCCCCCCCCCCGATTTACCCAAGTGCCCCTTTTGTGGACATTGTTATGTGCCCCCTCAAGAAAAAAACAGCTGGGCGTAAAATTTCGGATTATTTGTTTCCAGTAACCATTTCCCAAAATGGTATAGGAAGTTCTGATATGAACGAGACATGAAAACCAATTCCAAAAACCCTTACAATGCGCCATGAAATTGCCGGTTTTGAAGAGCGCCCCCTATTTTGGACTTGAAGATGTTACCAGCATCCCCCTTTGTTTTGACTGTGAACGAAACAATCATACTTCGAGGGAACGAAGCAGTATTTCGAAGGAATTACATTTTCGTGGGAACAAATTTGAAGAGATGATCGGACAAATACAACCTTCCACTCAGCCGCCGCTAACTGGCATGTAGGCCTATGTTATGTAACAAGTAAAACAGGGCCAAAAAATAAATGCAATGCGAAATATTTTCTAATTGTATTAGGGGGTATCAAGGGCGTACTACAACAAAATAATTTCCAAATGTTCAGATACACCGACTTACCACGCAAGTTTTGCAAATTCGAAGGGGCCGCGGGGGTTTCTTGTCATGTTGTCGAGATAAAAAAAAAAAATAATCCGTAGTGAAGTGAACAATTATAGTACTTTAATCACATTCCTCTTCTGTTTTTTTTTTTTTTTTTTACTAAAAAATACACCTACTGGACGAGGGAAATTTTTAGGGGGGGGGGGGGTGGGCGTCGGCACTGGCAATTTTGTTGGGAGGGGCTATACGCCTTTGCGCCAACACCTCTCCCCAATCTACACCAGGTGATCCAATCCAGTCCCTGACGAAGAACGCACATTTTGGAACACTTTACGACCCAGAAAGCACTGTTTAATACTTTTTTTCTACCATTCTACCATGCACATGATTATCTGTACATGGAAAAGACCTACCAGGTCGCGGCTGGAATAAAGACTAGACATTATTTACATATATGAATATTTGAATTCGCCAACGTTGCCTCACATCTACCGCGCGTAGTACGTTCAATGTGATTGGCCAAACTCTGTCTGGAACACTACAGTATAATTACACTTTTTATTTAACATTTATCCTTTGAAGAATGTTACGTCCCATTTTGATTTTCACAATAGTTTTGTCAAAAACTGTTAAGATAATTTATCTAAAAAAATACAAATATAACAGGAAATGCCGCCCTTCTTTGTCTAATGATGTGCGGTTTTGGACCAATCACAACGCTTGTTATAGAATCAGAGCCACGCAGAAAATAAAATAGGCGCAAACATCTCTCCGACGGAGGTACCAGGTAACTTTGAATGTGCATTTCTTTTTGACAAAATGAGTAAACAATTTGTTGTGTTATTAAGCAAATGTTGAAACAGCGTTTACATGTCTTCATCTATTTTAAAGAAAATAATGAAATTAAATCATTACATTTCGAGAATTTGGTCATAAATATGTCGCAAATTTTCGTGCACCCTGCCGCCGTTTTCAACACACCCGAGTTTTTTATGCTTTGTTCTGCAGCGTGTAAATATTCTCAAAAAACAACGGAAATATCCCTTGTTAACACTGCTAAGTTAGATTAAACCAGTCTTAAATTACCCTGTTTCCAGATTGTGTCACATTTTGTGAGTTACTGCCGCGTTTTCATGCAGTATTTTTGCTGCAAATATTGGCCATTTCGGCTGAGAGGGGAGGTCGCGTCCATTCAAAATGGCGGCGCGGTGAACGTATTCGTCGCGTAGGGGTCGAATTAATAATGATCATTTTTCAGCACTCGTGTGGCCTTGTTCTATCAAATCACCGCAGATTGGCACACTTTCCATCACCTAGATCCTGTGTTTTTCTCACATCGGCTATGTTAACGTATCGGCATCATTCGTGGTGATTTGTGCGATCATTTTTGCAATCCTTACGGGCCCCTCAGACCACAATTTTACGGAGGGGTAAGTGGTGGTCCCTTTTTTTACATGGACACAATGCACAAGGCTACCCCGTGCGGTTTGCATGCACGCGTTTTGTATGGAAGCGTGGGCCATGTCCACTGTACCGTGGGGCCAGGAGTGAATGGAGTGTGCCAAAATGGGCTTTACCACTTTGGATTCGGAGCCCGGATCCATATACATCACATTGCATTGCATAGCTAATCCTTTCAATTTCAAAAGTACCGGGCAGGCGGGTTGTGGGAAAAGTTACAATGAGATGCAAGAAAAAATGGGTTAGCCCGGGGCAGTCCAACGAAATTGTTTCTAAATCTGTTTGCTGAATGTTTCTGTGCATAGGTCTATGTGTGCTGACTATAGGTTACCTATAGTGTACTATGAGTATCACGTTGATTTGTTACAATCAATTACAAATAATAATAGGCCTACAAACAACACCCTCCAACCCCCCTTACAAATGATGAGACCCTTGATAAGATACAAATGAAACGGTTGAAAGTATTGAAAAGAAGTAAACAATTAAAAAAATAAATAAATAATGTCCACTCTTCAACAAATTCTCTGTTTTCCCTTCACAGTGCACACATTCACAATTTATTATTTTTTTTTTTTGGGGGGGGGGGAGATTACGCTTCGAAAATGTAAATATGAAAGGAACTGCAACATGTTCCCCAATTTGCGAATGTACATTTACAGTAAAAGATAATCATTTTCAATATTTGTCGGCACATTCAATAATCTCAAAACATTACCAACAATTGGAAATGTGATTTGAATACATTTATTGACTATATGTTGAAATTGTTTGCTGATAAAAATATGTATTTCTACAATGGAGTTTAACTACAATGTAGTTTGGATGCTGGCGTAAAAATTATGATCAAGGTAATTATTTTGTTATCAGTGAAATATTAATCCCAATTTTGTTTTTTACAGAAATGTTTCCATTTGTTCAATGTAGTACTAGCAATGCTTAAAGATCCAAACTATCCTTTCATAAAGAAAACGTTATTCCATAAATATGTATAGCATCTCTTATTTAAAATTCACTATGTAAAATATGTCATTATCATGATTAAAAATGTCATTATCATGATTATTTCTGCAAAAGGATAGTCTTGGTTTTTTTTTGTTACTCTCCGATCACTAATTCATCCTATGCGCCCCCCCCCCCCAACCCCCCCCCCCCCAACTTCACAGGGGGAAAAGGTATACATACACAATTATACATATGTTCATCAACATGTAAATGTTGAATGTTGAGACAGATAATATTTTTTATATTTTTTTAATTGTAATCTTTAACAAGGGAAGTCCATTTAGTAAGAAAACTGCTTGTCCAAAGGAGCACTCACATTAAAATTACATGGAAATAAAAGAACACAAAGAAAATAAAATTGCAAAAGTAGACAAGACGTTTCATTCAAACTTTACACAAAACATACAATATGAGTAAAAAAACTAACAGGTGTGTGGAGAGAGCAATTAAAAAACACTTGCTGCACATTCATACAAAAAAAAGATCTGCATAGTAAAGAAAAAAGAAGATAAGGCCAAAAAAAAGAATAAGTCGGCCTCTGATCAGCGCGCGCGTCGATTTTAATCATGCGCGTCGACCTTTTTTTTTCTCCAAAATGTTCTGCGGTAGCTCCAACAGCGCCCTCTATTTCCGCACCTCCTCAATTTTTTTTACCAAAGAGCACCAAGGAATGGGAAATTGCACCAAGGCAAATGATCAAAAGCACCAAGGCAAATTATGGAGGACACCAATGAACATGAGGACACCAAAAAAGCAAAACAGTACCCCACCTTGTCTGTACAATCCAAGCTTGAAGAAAAAAAAGAAAGGAAATAAAAAAAAAAAAAGCCGCGTGGCCGCGTCAATTCCGGAACTTTGGTCTGACCAGAGACCAAATATTTTTTTTTTGTGCCTTATTCTTGATGCTGAACATTACATGGAGTCCCCCAACAGACCTAGTAAAAAATCAGGTTAGGATAAAACTCTGCAAAGATAAAAAAAAAAACAATAAAAGTAAAAAAAGCAAAATGTTACAGTATTCCCGAATTACACATTGAAATCCCACCACTACTTTCAAATGGTGGCCAGTTTCATGAAAAAGTAAGTGGCTTGAATTTAACTCGAAGTTCAGCTCTGTTGAAAGTTACTTTAAAGTTGGTCTCCATATGTGCTAATTTTCGAGTTTAACCAAAAACTTGGATTCTGTTTTTCAAATTGCTAGCATTGCAAAAGTTATTCGCTTTTGAATGATACATGGAACCAAAATATGTGCCTACGTTAATTTATAGAACACAGAAAATTTACTTTGGCAAACTTTGAATCAATCATGGCCCGACAATAATTTAGGCATATTGTTTTGTGATTGATGGGCGCAAAAGCAATTAAAAAAAAAAGAGTTTTTTAAGAGGGTTAAAAACTTCCAAAATAGGAAAAAGTAGCCTTTTCTCGTTTAAATGAAACATACAAAATAAATTGAACATTACTTTGGAGAAATAATATTGAAAATGTTTGAAGTTCTCGAGAAGACCTGTACATGTACAAGTAAATATAGATGACATCACCATATTTCTGTCTTGTACTTGCACTTATTCAGGGGATTATGACAGATATTTAAACAACTACGTTTCAATACATTCTTACAGGGGAGGCCTGATGCTTGGAAGAAAAGCTGTGTACATGACAGTGACCTGACACTAATTCACTTTGGAAAATATTCATTCTTTTTGTGTTATATCAGCAGCCTAAGCGCATCATGGAACAAGATGGCCGCCAACCTGTTTGGCCGCCACACTATGTAGTGGACAGCGGGAATAATGTGGAGAACTACCGACAAGCTAGGCAGGATGACGAAATGCAGCACAATGGCGTCTCCAGCTCGGAGGGAGTGGGCGAGGTAGGCTGAATAGCTGTTGCTCTGACCAAGAGATTGTGGCATCCAGGGTAGTCCGACGTACCATTGGTCCAACATCCCAATGATGCGACGTGTCATTGGTCTGACATGGTCCGATGAAACATAATAATGTGTACATAGATCCACTGGTTCAAGATACTGACCCTTACCCTGACCCTAATCCTATGGGGCGTATGACCAATGGGACGTCGTAGCAATGGTCGTCGGACCAATGGGACATATAGACCAATGAAACATATAGACCAATGGAACGTATAGACCAATATGCCGTCGGACCAATGGTATGTCAGACCAAGGGGACGTCGGACCAATTGGGCGTACAGACCAGTGGAATGTATAGACCAATGTGCCTTCGGACCAATGGGTCGTCGGACCAATGAGACGTCGGACCAATTGGGTCGTCGGACCAATGGGTCGTCGGACCAATGGGACGTTGGACCAGTGGGACATGCAAAGGACCCATAGCACCAAGACGATATGATGCACATAGACCAGTCAGCATTCCCAGGCTGTTCCCAGTTGGAACAACGTATGTTTCTAATAGGAACAGGCCATTTTCCAACTTGCGACGTTCCCGTAAGTGGCGATTATGCCCTCTAATATCCCCAATTTTGTGTCGGAAGCTCTTGAAAAGCAATAAAGTTGTATCTCGCTTGAGTATGCTCCGTGCAACAAGGTCGTATCTTGACGTCCATGGACTTTGTGTGTACATCCGGGTTAGTTCAAGTGAGATATTACCTTTTGACATTCTGAAACTCGCGCTTCATGTACGGCCCATTTTAGGAGATACGACCTTGTTGCACGGACACAACGTTATATGTCATCAGTCAAGGGCAAAATTCTATAATTGAAGTTTGCAATTCAATGTTGTTGCTTTGCAGAGGCCACGTGAGTTCCGCCCCTACATGGCAGGCTACGAACCTGAACCTAGTGGACAAGCCTTCAGCGACAACGAACCCCAATCCACTGTCAGGGAGAGCGACATTGCCGTGGTCAGTTACCAGGATCAACCCTTGCCTGCCACTCCAGGTGAGGAAAATGTCTGTCTTGGGAATTGAACCGGAATTTCAGTCAAGTACTCACAAGTTAATTACTCACAAGTTAAAGTCAACAAATTAATTCTAAAGTCAAGTTGTAAGCTATTCAAAATTATCTGACTAAGGATTTTGAAAAAAAAAAAAAATCAAGGCTGAGAGTGCATACAATAGTGATTCACCACACATACTGGAATTTGTATCCTTGTGGAGACATTTTTCGTTCTCGTGTAGGAAAGTTTTCGAGTTTGAAATTGAAGTTTCAAAATGCTCCTATTTTAACCAGAATTAATTTCCTGGGCTGAAATTTGGACTAAATATCCCTTTTCTAAAACTCTTCCATTTGCGACAGATCAACCTACCTTGGAAATTCCTAGTTTTTGAGTAAAATCCATATATCTATTTCGTGAAATTCTTGTGGAGACGTATTCATCTATAGAAATGTTCTTGTGGAGACGTATACAATCTTTTGTTCCCTATTGTGTGCATGTCTCCGTAAGGTAGTAAATTCCAGCACACCCTACCTATCACCCCCCCCCCCCCCCACACACACATACACACAAGTGTGCATTTGCCTGCAATCGGGGACCCCTATTGTCCCTCTTTTGTTTGTACTATAAGTTTTTAGGAATACCTCCCATATGATTTGTACACGAATCCAAATAGGGGATCTCTCGGGAATTGGGGACCCTATTGTTCTCAATTGTTCAACGTCCCCTATTGTATTGAATGCAGAAACAAACTCACATACACACAGGTTTGTTTATGGTGTAAATGGAGGATTTTCTATTGTTCCTCATCATCAATCTTTTGTTCATAAGTAGCTTTTGTGCAACAACTACCATTGGTTTTGTACACGTTTTGTAATCGAGGTCGTCCTCGATTTTACTCCAGTCCTCAATTATGATGTAAAGCTTCACGTGGGTGTCCTCAATTTACACCATAAACATGCACACACACACTGAGGCAAGAAAAAAATATATAGTCGGTCTCTGGTCAGCGCGCTACAACAACGCCCTCTTTTGCCGCACCGCCTCAAATTTTCGTAGGCAGCTCGATTGCAAATGATGGGGGGCACCAAGGCAATTGATGGAGGACAACAAGGAATATGAGGACACAAAAAACCAAAATAGTACCTACCTTGTCTGTACAATCTAAGCTTGAAAAAGTAAAAAAAAAAATCCCAAAAACGTATCGCCTCATCAATTCCGGAAATTTGGTCTGACCAGAGACCGACTATTTTTTGTTTTGGTCTGACTACAAAAGTTTGGAATTCATCCAATGCTGAAAGAACATGTACAACACTCTTGAAAAATGTGTGCCATGTGCAAACATATAGTCATTTTTTAGCTTCCCCAACCCTGACTGAAAAGTTCCCCCAACCTTAAAACTTGGTTAAAAGCCACCGGTTTGACTTTTTAAGTGAAAGTATATGTTGAATCCCATTCTGCCAGACAATGAAGCAGTCCCAGTGCAGCACCCCCTCACGCCGGACTCCAGCTTACCACCGGATTCCCCCGTTCTCCATCAAATGGAACCTCCCGCCCAGTCGGCGAGCCAATCCCTGCCGCAAGTGGTCCAGGTGTACAATCTGCCCGCACCACTGGAGACCAGGATAAGGGGTGCAGATGACACAGTGGATCATGCAAGTGGAGGGGATGTCCTGGCGATGATGGCTGAAGGAGGTCGTGGGTTGGCAGAGCAAGTGGGCCCAGGACCGTCAGGTGCTTCTACATCAGCAGCAGCAGCAGCAGCAGCAGCAGCAGAGCAAAACTTTGAAGGGAGGCGATCGACTAGGCTGTCGCAGCTGTCTCAACTCCCGAGCACTTCGGGGAAGTACTTTGGGGATGAAGATGAGTCATTGGGTAAGTGGTTGTGATGTTCTTCTTGTGTCAGCTACCATCTGAATCTATGGAAATTGGGAACTATGCTTGAAACCAGGACAAAAGATGCTGGCTGTTGGCCCGTCGGCAACCTCCATATGATGCTACAAATGCCCAAAAATGTCTGCTTTTTAGGCACAAAGGAGTCATATCAATGGAGTTTTATCTGCAAAAGGCCCATTGTTTCCTATATATTCACAGTTGAGAACAATTTCCTTGTAATCTTCCAACAATGAAGTTATCAGTTTGTAAGGAATGCTGACGACTTCATGGCAGGAAGATTCCTCTGATGTTGTCCAGAATCCTGCAACTGATACTCGTTAAAACGGGCCTATTGTGCATAAACTGTTCACAACTTAACCCAGATATTGCATGAGATGACTCCTAAGTGGCACTTGAAAGCATCTCAAATACCAGCTTGGCATGTTGCAGCTGCTTCTACACATCATTATTATGATCTCCCACTTTTGGCAGACGATGTCGGCAATCTGTTGGATGAGGAGGAATTCCTGAAGCAAGGAGCTCTCCAGACCATCTCTGATAACCCTGTCATCTCCAGGGCCAGGGCCAGCCTCCCGAGTCAGCTGCAGATCTTCAAGGTGGACAACAACCAAGTTGGTAAGAACTGCAGATCAGAAAAAACAGTTCAGTTTCCTGCAGCTGATTTCACAAAACTTCTTTTTCTTCTTTGGGGATGAAGATGAGTCACAACCTCTTCCTTATAAGTGCTGCCTTCATATGGTTGAACAAAAATGCACTGCGTTGGGCGCATGCATTGTCTAAAGACAACAGAAACTTGTACTCAGGTACAGTACTGTATAGTGCAAGTAAAAAATCTGTTGGTGAGGTAGCTTCAGGCAGAGGTCCCTCAGCGCAGATTTGAAGACGTTGAGGGATGGGTATGCAGCAGGATCAACTGGGAGGTTTTTCCCGTTACGGATGGTACGTGGGATGGTGAATAGATTGTGTAGATGGTGAATGAGTTACAAAAAGCATAATAATGAGTTATGAAAAGCACAATATTACTTGCACAACATTTCAGTAATGACACATCTCAGGAAAGTTTTATGCGTGTATGAATGATACACAATAAATTATGGTGTGACTCGTAACCAGCCATTTTAACCAGTTCACGTCGGATGACGTTTATACATGCAAAGGTTTTGAGGTATTGGAACGGATGGCAGATAAACGTGCAACGAGCGAGGCCGGAAATATCTGTCTGCGACCTGCTTGAAGTGAGCGAGGCAGGAAACATCGGGGTGTGCTACCCGCAGATGACGGCCTGAACCCGTCTTGCATTGAGGTTCTGAAAAACGATCCCGCGCCTGGGTCCGGTCAATGTCAAAATAATCCCTGCGCGAACTGCTTAAGTGACGTAAAGTAAGGACGTAATGGACTATTTTACTAGAGGGGGTACTGGTATTGATATGCTCACGATGCATATGCGATGTATGCGTAGGACACCCTTTTTGGACACCGATGCATGCAGCGATCACGGGCCGTGCGAATCCACTTTTCACTTCACACTCTGCCAACCGCAGTACAGGAAGTCAATGCAAATGCGTGATTTGTTGAATGCCGACTTGCGCAAAGGATTTTGTAATGCTTTTTATGGAAAGGGACCGACAGTAACACGACGACTTGAGCGAAATGGCGGCTTATAAAAGCCGACTTAAATAAAAAACTTCAATGGAAATGCATTACGGACAATCGGGACTTTAGTCAGACGGCCGACTTGAGCGATTTGACGAGTTGTACAATGTTGGTTTAGCCGGAGTTTACTATAGATTAACTGCAAGTTGTTTTTTTTGCACTCTGAATATTTTAGGAGTATTTGCCAAGCGATCCATCCCCAAGCGAACCCAGTTTGGGCCTTTGGAAGGCAAGCATATCCGGGCAGAGTTTCTGCCTAAAGGGTCCATGAAGTGGCTGGTGAGTTTGGATATTTGTATTTTAAATGATCTGTTGACCAAAATTTATGCGACATTATTATATGAAATTCAAACTGGGCTGCGACTAGAAACTACAATCTGAAAGGTGAAGATGGTGAATGAGTTGCCAAGAATGTGCCAACAGAAGTCTAGATCTGCAGCTGACTTTGGAGGCTGCCACTGGCATACCATAAAGTGATACCATAAAGGCATCACTTTCGTGTCTTCGATCTGCTGATCAAGACCTACTTTGGGAATCACGGGTGCGTACGTCATGGGGACACAGATCTTTCCAGTCTTGCGAAGCAAACTTTTGGGATGGGTTGTCACACTCTTTCAGAAATGCTTCCACAACTTCTTGCTTTAAATTGGCTCTGTAGACCTATTTGTTCTCAGAGGCAACGTCCACATAAATTGTGAATTTATGTTTGGACTCTATAATTGTACTAGCTTTACAAGTCTTCATTATCATTATCACCATGAAAGATGGAAAGAATCAGATATTTTCTGAATACAAAATGACAAATGACTGCATGCATTACAATAATGTTGAACAAGGAAACTGACTGAACCTACATCCTCTGGATTACCTTACCCATGCTGCGCTGTGCCAACTGAGCTTTTTTTGCGCTTTGTCACCTGTGGGCGTTTCATAATTCGTAATGTCTTTATGCAAGGGTGTCAGAGGTCATAAGGCCATATACACGTATTTACCGTGCAGCAGGGGTTAGCACCCAAAGTCATGATGCTTGCTACATTAGAAAATAGCAAACAGAAATCACTGTAACAGCTGAAATTTGACTGTAAAACGTTTCGTGTCTAATTTAAAAATCTGGAAGACTCATAACCTACACAAGGTTATAATAACAATGGGGAAGGTTCTCTTTACTCATTTTCTTTTGTCCGTGCCACCTCGTTCAGGTCAAGCAAGATGGCATGGATGCCTACTTGGACTGCAGCGACGAACAGGAGAGCAACTGGATGGGCTTCATCCGGCCAGCCAAGCGCTACAGCGAGCAGAACCTGATTGCTTTCCAGATGGAGAACGCCATGTACTTTGCTACCATCAAGACAGTGGAAGCCAAGTCGGAGCTGAAGGTGTGGTACGCCAAGTCTTACGCCGAGCTGATTGGGGAGAAGGTGCTGGAGATCACAGCAGAGGAGGCAGCAGGTAGGAGACCCCTCATCAATGGGGAGTATGAAAGGGGGCATGCCCAGTACAAGCTTCTACTAAGTGAAAGAATACAACTTCCAAAAACCCTTTTTGGTTGGGGGAAGGAAAAGGGGCATTATCAGTATTTTTTAACAATTATATTTTGCTGAAATTGCATCATGGGCATCAAGCACGGCATGAAATACCATGTTGACTTGCATGGCTTGCATCGTGGAACTTTAAAAAAAATATCTAATTAATTTAGGGCCGAGTCAATTCGAATAATTGAATATTCGAATATTCGACCTTCCAATCGATCGAATATTCGAATATTCGGTTATTTGGCCATTCCTAATTCCCTCAAAAGCAAAAATATGCCATACATGTACATGTAGTCAACGTACGTGAGCACGTCAGCATGCTATGCATGATTTCTTCACAGGTAAGTCAGGTATTTGACAATAATCAGTTGTTCTTCAGTCGTCAGTAATTTAAAGATTAACAATAACCAGAGAAGCTAGAGTGAAGGATTCCTTGTTTGCATGGGGGACGTATTAAGCCGTGAACCCCAAACACGGCGGGTGGCGTCAGCTATTGTGACTCTCCGACCCTTAACTCCGAGCATATCTATTACTGGAAGCTTCTTGAAGTCTACAAAACGGTGTACTTCCTAGTCACAGTATTGAGGATAAAAAAATCACTTATATAATAATAACTCGCACTTTTGTCACCAAGAATTGAGGAAATGATTTTATATCATTTTAAATAAACTTATTCTCAACAACCAAAAACTCCAAGAAAAAAACCTATGATATTTAATGTCTTTATTCAATGAAATATGGGTCTTTGAATTGTAAATGCATATTTAAGTTTATGCAAATAATGGGCGTGGGCGCGGCATACACACGCCCCAGCTTGACACGTGCAAAGCAGTATTTCCTTGTTTGCCCACACGGGATGTATTATAAGCTGTGTACCCAAAACACGAAGGGTGACATTTCAGCAAAAACAAATAAAATCGCCAGCCGAGCTCCGGCGGGCGCATTGTTGGCGGGCTAATTAGGGCACAGGTGCGCTGACCCGGTTCTTTTGTCTGGCTAAGTGCGTGCTCTGGAGATAATTTTCTAACAAATAGGCCACTAAAAGGTTTGGATATTCCAACTTGCAACATTTTGATACATTTTGTCTAGCTGTGGTTTTCTATGCTGGGAATCAGGGGTACGGTGCGGTGAGTTGACCGCAAAGTCTGTCTGGCGAAATAAATGAGAGCTCTTTTGAGTTTGAAATCCTTTCTGTTGTCTGCCCTTTTTCTTGCGTTTTGCTCGACTTGGAGGACATAAGCCAGAGGTTCCCGCTATTATTACTGAAAGTATAATTGCTGAACTAGTTTTTGAAGTGTTTATGTATGTTTTATTTGTGCAAATATTGGGTGCAATTAGCAGACTAACCCAGCGAACAAAGCTGACGGACAGCGAACGAAAATGTGTTCGATAAAAGGGTGCTCTGATCAGTTGAGAGAACTAGATTATTTTGTACATGTACATGTACATGTATATAATTACGGAGGCATTGAGGCGAACATCTAACAGCCATAATAAATTTACCCCTAAAAGTAAACAAGAAATTCTTTTAGAAAAATCCCAGAGTCCGTAACGTAAATGAACCAAGGTTTTCAAAACGTTTTAATGTAATGTTGGGGTTCATGACAAGTTTTATACAACACCGCCACGTGCTGTGGGCAGCATACTGCGTGCAAGGCGATTCCCTATAACCACGTGCATTCGACACGATTGAACAGGCGAAGGAAAACTTTGGGGGGAATTGGCTTCGCTGTATCAGTGTGATGTACCGCTTCTTGTGCGACCCTGTGCGAGCAGTACGTCCTCAAAATAAGTACATGAAAACGGAAAATACAAAGGCCCACACAGAAAAAAGAAATCAAGTTCTTTGCATGAGATTGCAGAGGTCTTCTACATCGATCGATGTTGGCATGCCATTTTCACGATGTCAATAGCCGATCCAGTAAGCCCCTCCCACTGCGCACGTGGGCAAATTAACACGTGCTCCTCTCCAATGCCACGCTGCATTTTCCTATGCTGCACACATGTACATGTAACACCAACGCGCGGGGAAACTTGCCAGGATCGCATCGGGGAAAACAGCGGCAATTTTCTTTTGAAAATAGGGATTGTAAGTAGGACAACAACAAACAAAAATATGGACAACGGAAACGTTACTACTCATGCTAGAAGTTTGATATGAAAAGGTGTCAGAAAGTGTTTTGTGAAGACATGAAAGACAAAATGTCTTGTTTATCTTGTCGGAAGCATCAGCGATTGGTGTTGCAGTCCGGCGTTAAAAAAATGGGTTGGCTTTACTGCAAGCACTCCCAAAACAGAATTAATATATGTATGGCATTATTGCTTGGCATATATACAAGCTACTTTCATGTTTTGTTTTTGCAGCAACTTGAAACTTAACTTTGAGAATACACTTTTGTTGTTAAAAAAAAGTTTTTTCTAACTTTTTATTTCATTGCATATCACCACCGAATATTCTTATTCGAAAATAAATATTCGAATATTTGATTATCGATCGAATATTCGAATATTCGAATATTCGGCACAGCCCTACTAATTATGAGAGCAAATTGAAAACCTTTTATTTATTTATTTTTTTTTTTTGTCCCAGCAGAGCTCCAAGACAAAGAAAATTCCTGGCCCTGCTTTGAGTGCAGCCGCAAATTCCGCACATCGGACCTCCTTCAGAAACATTTGGCAACCCACGATGCTGTGCACAGTCGGCCATCCCGGGGCCGGACCAGGGGCCGGCGAGGCCGCCCTCGCAAGTACCCCGAGGGATACCAGCGGAAGCAGATGGTGGCCCAGGCTAAGCTGCGGCAGTCCCGTCGCATCCAGCGCAAAAAGCCTGAGCAGTACCACTGCAACATGTGCCCCAAGGCCTTTCCACGGCTGTACAGTCTCCAACGCCACATGGTCATGCACTCAGGTGAAAAGAACTTTACCTGCAATGTTTGCAACAAGACCTTTGCCCACATCTATAACCGCACGCGTCACTTGCGGCGTCACGAAGAGAAGGGTGAGTACCCTGGCATGCCGCTGAGCAAGCAGTCGGTACAGTCAAGCTGGGGCTGTGACAGCTGCGATTTGGAGTTTGAGAGTGAAGAGCTCTTGAACCTGCATGAGCTAACACACTCGCCATTGCTGACTGACCCAGAGTGGGACGAAGGGGAAGAAGGTCCCATGGCAGTGGCAGCGCGTCTTTTGGTAGATGCCTCTGCGATAGTTGGAAACAACCCATCAGGAGAAGGTACCTCTGCACAGCCATTTGATCTCCAGGCCCCATCAGCTGTGCCTGTCCACATCCATATTTCAGGGCAGCCATCAGCCAGTCCGAATTCCCAAGCACCTGGTGGAATTACCCCCATAGTCCAACCTCCTGCTCAGGCATCCAACCAACCGAGATCAACAGCTCAGCAGACTCTCCAGCTGCCGACATCTGCTCAACAGACGACTATGTCTGTGTCCTATCCTCAAGCCCCCAACCAGCCAACTATTCAGGGACTAGCCCCACAGGTTTCGGCGCCACCTCAGTATCCATCACATAATCAGGTTGCTACTATGCCTCAGGCACCCACACAGC